ATGTGTCTTATGCTTTAACTTAGAATGAAAAAAACCCCCATCCAGGCATGTCAAATATAGTCAAACCTAACCACTGACGAAAGGCTGATGTCTAATGGTTGCACAGTCAATGTGACATCATCACATGACCGGCATGATTGCATTTACTCCATTAAGGTAGGTATTCTCATTCATTTACTACCCAAGCCCTCTCTTCCACTCATCTCTACCACCACCACCACTCTATGATGGTTTCCATGGTCACGGTGCAACAATTATCAAAGAGCTTAAAGGAAATGGCTTCAACCACAACACATCTCTGAAACTACTGGAGACACAGAGCTGCCTCTCTCGGTTTTCTATCATGTTTAGCTCGAATGATGTCAAAGTTGCAACGGAAGAAATTATGTAAACAGATTAAGACAAATCAAGGTTCAGATGACAGCACAGACTTAACGTTCTTGTTTTGACTTACTGATAGAACTATATCTCCATATTTTTTTTAGTTTAAAATAAGCTAGCTGTATGGAGGTAATTTGCTGCTGACATACAACAATTTGTATTCATATATGACATTTAAATGTCATGTTCTGTCTAGCAGCCACCAAACCTGTCTGAACTTGTTTCATTTGAATGTCATTTTCCTAATTCAGAAGATAAAACATAGACAAGATTGTTAACACCACTAACATATAGAATAGCCTTTTATTCTCATTCTACATGTACAACAAAATTGTGACTATCGCAAAGCAAGAGAACAAACATACTAAAACTATTTGGACAGTTATGGGAGCAGAGCTGGGCTATAATGGGCTCCATAGCCATGTTGGAAATCTGATATGTGGTTGAAAAAACAGTTGACATATCTGAAAAGTTCCCACTGCGAGGTCACCACTCCCAAACGTTCCTGTCAGGTCTCAATTGAAACGAATGATACTTTATAACCCCCCTCATGCACACCGACTAAATGTTAGTTCAGCTTTAGCTGGACAGGGATGAAGAAGCTTCTCCTATTTTGAGAGATGATAAATGTAGCATAGAAGGGCTGTTTCTAAAACCCACAGAGTAAAGCAGGGGACAAAAATAATCCCCTAGAAATTACACCATAGAAATGCCAAGAGCAGCACCGTGTGAGGGTGCTGCAAGCGTTATGATTGAGAAAGTAGGAAATAAACGAGAAAGGAGTGATCCCTCACCATTATTTAACCCATGCAAAACTCTCTAACAGAAAATGCAAAACCAGATATTTCAGATAAAAGAAACATGCATGAGCGACTGTTTGACCACACTACGAAAGTCCCCCTCTAACGTAGACATGCAATTGCCGTAAAACCCATGATCTGGTGGCTTCACTGCTTGCTGGAGTTTCTTATTATTGGAAATCTAAAAAGCCACGCTGTTCTTTGGGTCTCTTGGGTAAAGACGGATCCCCACACAACAGCAATAAGTGAATTATGCTTTCGAATGCAATTTATATCCAGCAGAACTACAACGCCCGATTGTCCGCCAATTCTGCGAGGTATAACTTTCCACCTTCTTTAAGCAGTCCTGCTGCATCATGTTTTAATTGAATTGCACCTTTTAGAAGCTGCATTATGAAAAAAATGACTAAAACAAGTCAGAGAGACCTGCAATTTACATATCACCATGCCCCAAGTCATTAGATTTAAAAAAAAAAACAAATGCTGTGCAGCCCAAAGTAAAATATCAGTAAGAAAATTAGGGCATAAGCGTTCATCCAAAATAAAATAAAAAGCAAATGCTTTTATTTTGGCAGAGAGCTGAAAAGTTTAAGATAAAACTATGATGGTGCAGAGCCGCTGTGGTCACAGAAGTGTTTTTAGAAACTCAAAACAACGACCATTCCTTGGAATGTTTGCCTACTGCTGCTTGACAAGCGCAGCAGCAGTGCTACACCTCCTTCTCTGCTCCTTTCCCAAGCACTACCATTTACGTGTTTATGAGAAAGACCGTTCTGATCGTTGGCCAAGTCATGCCTGGCAGCACCCAACCCTGGCATGATAACCCTATCGGATGAGAAGACCCAGGAAGATGATACGGGCATAATGGGGGTGAAAATCAGCCTGCAATGGACTGAAACACACTTCCTAATGCATAATAAAGCATTCATTCTCTTGTCACGAGGAAAGTCTTTGCGAGAGTGGGGGTGAGTTGGAGTTAAAAAGTACAGAGAATACTGTATTCTCCTTCTGTCAGTGGGCTGGATGGGGAAATTAGGGTTAGAAGGGGTGAAATTTTGTGTCTTTGTCTATACATTTAGCTTTTTAGTTGCATTAGGAGTTAAGCTGGGTTAAGGAGGCAGTCTTCAATGACAGCAGAAGATCGTAGATTAACAGGCTGCCAGACAAGTCCGGGCGGTAAATGTAAGAAATGCTACTGTTTTGCTAGAATACTGCAGTATAATGCAAGCCACTTATGGAAGGGAAAAAAGCCCATGTAGGGGAGAGATACCAGCAAAAAACTCTTATCCTGTGTCATGACCCTTAGATTTTAATTTTTTTTTAAAAATTAAGAAACCCCCCAAGCAGTAAACCAGCACTTATATGGATCAGGATGGTGTAATAGCTGGCAACAAATACAACAACATTAACGGTGTGGGAGCAGACTTATCTATTTGTTATACTACCTGTCTATGGTTGTGAAGCTGTGCTTATCTTTTTTCTGGTCTAACGTATACAAAACACAAATTTGCATGGCATGAAGTAGAGCTGAGCCAGTAATGAAGCCACAATGAAGTTGTATGCTTGCGTAATAAAGTATACCATGCAGAAAAAAGAAAACATTTCACCTTATCTGGGGCAAATTTAGCAAACTTTTCAAGTTTTTGTTTACGTGATTTTATGCATGCAATCCTTAGGACCCATCCACTACTGATGTAAAAGTAATGGATATCTCCCCATATATTTAGGTAGCTTCAGAAACTGTCCCAGTAACTGTCAGGAGGTTTTGCTGTTAACCCCTTAGCAGTCCAATTAGTCCCCTAAACCATCCAATGTACCGTGGGCGGTACGTCCGACTGCTAACAGGTTAAGGAAAAAAAGGCTTACTTGTAGATGGCCTTTGGTCAGACCACAAAAAAAAAGAAAGAAAGAAAGAAGAAGAAGTCTGGTCGCTGTGGTCAGAAATCCCTTAAGGAAACAAATGGGAATCAGTCGAGGATGCTTGTAGTCCATACCTGAAAATGTTCTGGATAGAAACTACCATCAAGATTGTGTATTATAACAGAAGTGATAACATAAAGGCATTTTTAAAGTATGTCAATAATGATAACTGAGAACAGGGTTTACAGCATAACTTGAGGCTTTGATATCCAGAAATCCTGAGTGCACATTGTACACATAGACTTTTCTTTTATTCTACAGCTTAAGCCACAGCTGAAGAATGAATTGCCAAATGACTGCCTCAAAGCCAGTGTTTACACAAAAAAATGTCACAGAGCACAGTCTAAACTAAACATAGTATGAGGTTGACTATTCAGGTCATTTTAGTTCCCCTTCAGCCAAGAATGCCAACTTGGAGTTATTAAGGAAATCATAGCGATTGCAGAGATTCCATATCAGGCTTAACCTTACTTGGTGCAACAACAAATCAGTTCTGATTAGAGTCAGCTGTTTGCTCATTAAACAATCACGGCATAAGAGCTCAGAAGATCTGGCAGCTGGGAAAGAATGTCACTCAGTGGCTGACTGTTAGCAATAACTTAGCCAAGGAAGGAGCTTGTAGCAACATAAAAGCAGCTTGTTTATTTACAGTGTCAAATAAATAAAGACCATGAGCAACTTTGGAATGAAACTGACTTCTTACACATTTTGCAATGTGTTTCATGAAGGTTGCGATCAAGATTCAAAAATGTCCTCTACCATTATTTCACATTTTTAACATTCAGAGAAACGTGCCAATCTAGTAGAACCGCTTTTGGCACGGGCCTTAAAAAATGTGAAATGCACTCACCACACATTGCGCTGTTCTAAATGTGAAATGCAGCTACAGTTTATACCTAAAACAAAGACAAACTCCTTACAGTTCTAGTGTTCTGCTCTAGTTTCTTTGGCTATTTATCATTGTCACATCTGTTTTTCAGTTCTTTTTTTCCCTGCACAGCCTGAAAATAATAAGGGTGCTCTCAGATCTTATTTGCACCATGAGGGGGGCATGTGTGAATCGACCTTGTTACGACTGGGTTGGCTTTAAAGTGTCTGGTGTTGAGCTAATTTAAGTGATGTTTTACTACTATGAAACTGTGCAGTAAAATCTGTTTCAAACGTACAAATTAAAACAATTTAACTTTTGATAAAGGGGAGGGAGCAAACAAATAAACTACAAGCCTTATTAAAGGGATAAACACTTCAACGTGGCTTTGAAGCTTCTAGTGGATTTTCCCTGAACAAAACGTGGTACAATGTAATGCCGCACATATTCAATCCATGTATTCAGGCTGACAAAAGCAGATTATCCGCATTTTGAAGATGTAATGCCTCTTCTTGGATTTGTGTGAACCAATATGACAAAACAAGCACTGACTGGTGTTTGTTGGTTGCATGTGACAGCTGACATGCATCCAGGAATAGAAGCCCTGGAGTGACTCAAGGCGATCAGATGCTCACCCACAAGTACGCATGATGGACAAGGCACAGTAATATTAGAAGAACTTCCCATGAAAAAAAAAGAAAACGAATTGCACACACATGACAAAACCTCTGTGGCCTTTTCACTTCACAGGTCAGACTGGTCGGCTAACAGCAGCACAGCGTGAGGACATGACATGACGCGCTGAGCGCACAACCTACAACACGCTGACCATTTGAGAGCACAAAGCTGTAACATTTTGTGTCAGGTATTATACTGCTTCTGCAGAGATGTAATCCAAGTACACAAATGTGTTTTATATCACACGGCAGATATAAACTAACAGTAATCACTTCTGTATGCCTGGGATTGACAGATAACAAATCAAGCAGCTCAAATTCTAGACGTCATGAACAGAAAACTGCAGTCCTTACCTTTAACGAGTCAAAGCAGGCGATCACTCTCCCATTCTCCACCTGGCAGCTTTTGGGTGGGTGGGCAAATTTGCATTCTTCATCGCTGCGCGAACAAGTCCCGCGTTGAAACTGCCGGCACACTTCCAGGGTCAGCCATTTTGTGTCCCGTATGGAGGCAATGTTTAGAGCCATGTCAACAGCGCTGGCTGTAGAGCCGGGTTGCAGCAGAGCCACTAGGTTTAATGTGGAGGTTATCCTCTGAAGAGGAGCACTCCAGTAAAAAAAAAGAAAGAAGCAAAAACAAAAATATCCCCAAAAAACAAAAGAACTAAGAAGCAGCAGAACGTGTAGCTATAAATGATCTGCTTCAGGTCAGTGGATCAGGCTTGTCCTTGCAGACAGGAACGTGGAGGTAATGGACTGGCAAGGTCTCTGTGACCTGAACATGGGACTACACTATTGCGCTATTGTGGAGTTTCTCAGTCAAACAGCTAGTTGTTTATCAATCAGTAAGTCTCAGGTGCGAACGTCTGGAAAGGCAGAGGGGGCATGCTCAGAGAAAAGCTTTAGTCGATGTACCCGTGTCCCCAAAATGTCCTCTGCGTGAGTGATGATATCTTTGCAAGGGGTGGATATCAGGGTTATTTTGAGGTACAATGGCACAGTTCAGGATAATACAAAGTTTGTGGCTTTTTATTGTTACCCTCTCTCTGAGCTTTGGCACGTTGGCCAGCTATGCAGCAGCTCCAGCAGCTCTTTACTTTTCCTTCACACAGATCATAGGTGAGGACAAATCAAGGGTCAGCGATCCTCACAGCCGAGCCGTGTGGCGTCACGATCGCAGAGGGCAAAAAAAAAAAATCTGGAGTTCTTCAGAAACACTCAGCGATCTTCAAGTAGGGATGCTGTCTCACAAGGCACTTTCTGTCAGTGATCTAAAAGGGAGAAGTGAAAGAGAGAAAAGTAGAGACAAGAGACAAACAGAGTGAGGCTATTTTCACAGTGAGAAAATGGCTCGCTAATTATGACGGGAAACAATTTATCTAACAGGCTTCAGCAGGCGTTAACGGTGTTTGTTTTATGCGTGTCAATCTGAATTTGTGTGTGCACTGCCCCAGAGGAGTGCTAGCTCCAAAGGGGACAGGCCTGATAAACCAGAAAAAAAGGCAGTTAAAAGGTTATTCAGAAGCCATTTGAGTCTAAGTCCCACAGTCGCTGCTGTCCGCCTTTGTACGGGGTGACTGCAAGCCCAGTGGCTTTCCAACATATTGCATACAAAGTGGGGAATGGCAAAAGCCACTGTGCTATGAGACAGTGGACAAGAACGCAGAGTCAGAGCAGAGATAGAAAAAAGCCCCGGGGTCCAACCCGCCCTGTAGAGCCATGCACGGAGGGACGAGTTCAGCCAATAGAAAACCGCGCAGAGCAGCACTATTCCGGGCAGTCGTCCAGCAGCCGGAGAGGGACCGAGACAGATGCATATGCCAGTGCCAGACACGATTATGACGCTGCCCAGTGTCCGGCAATATTCACTGGTCTCCCACCATCCAAATTAGGTACTGGCTCATTGACGGCAGCCTGTCAATTTACATTCATTGGGGGGAGACGTGCGTCGGTGCGTCTGTGCTGCCTGTCTCATCCTGCAAAGACGCTGGTCCCTGTGTTTGGCTGTTGTCTAGGGACTGAGGAGGGACAATTGGTAGAGCAACAATATGAGGAAGTGACCTTTAGTTTGAGCATATGAAATCCATTACGGAGCTACTGCGCAAGGAGCTCTTTCATTGGCACATCTGGAAATATTTTTCTGCTAAATGCAGGCGGGAAAGGGGCTGAGGACACAGACTGAGGGAGGAGAAAGAGAAGGACTGTAAAAATATATAGAGTTCTGGTTAACAGATTACCCCACTGGAAAACATCTTGACCAATCTCACATGGCATATGAAAGGCTACACTTGTTAATGAAGGTTTGTGGGGAATTGTACACCCGTGTTCGCAGGGTTTACTGAACGAGAAATCCTTAAAAAGTGTCCCTGACAGGGAAGCAGCTGTCATACAGGTGTATGCTACTGGCAGATTCAGCACAGTATTTATTTTAATCTCTTGTCCACAAGACAGAGGTCTGAAGTAAGACGCACTTATCCTTTCTTCCTGGAATCTACTAAATTCTTCAGTTTGACATCCAAAATAAAAATTGCATCTAAAAGTCCAAATGGAGAAGCCCATTTTTCTATAAGATAATTGATTTTTTTGTTGTTTATTTCAGGCATTAGGAGGGCAGATTTTTTTTTAAGCTTCTCTTGAAATTACCCACCAACCTTTGTCTAGCTAATCTAATTGTCCCACTTCAGAGCTGATCATGTGAAATGAGATCAGAAGCTTCCTCGCCTGATCGTACTGACGCCCAGGCTTCACTCTCCAAGGTTGGATTTAATTTCACATCATCACCCCAGGGAAAGAGCCAATCACTGCAAAAGAGACAGTCAGGTAAGAATCATGTCAGATCTGACCTTTAACAATTAATCCCTTCTTATTTTTAGGAGCCATAAGAAGTGTGTGATCAAGCTAACCTACTTTGTCAGAGAGTGTAAAGGGATGATAGTGCCATTTCTCTGAGAAATGACTTACTTTGAAAGGTGCAGCAAGTTGTGCTGAAATAGTAGGGGAACACAACCACTAGTCATTTTTGTATTTTTCTATTTAAAGCAGGGGTTTACAGCAATCAAAGTTTGGATGAAAAGAAACAGCCTGACAGAGTGGATAATGCTTGGTCAGGGTCATCTGAACACTCCGAGGTGTCTCAACAGGCAACATTCAAACAATGTTTGCCAAGAAAGATATTCAAAACGAATGGTGAGGACTAGAGATCCAAAGGAGACTTATGTGGGTGGTAATAAGACTAAAACGAAGGAAAAACAGAACATAAAGAAAAACAAAGAAAATCTGTTCTGATATTGTATAGAACCGTACGTTTATGTAGTATTACTGCTGTCAAAAACACAAAACAAAAAACAGAATAGAAAAAGTAAAGTAAATATCTTAATAATATCCAACATCCTGACTAAGAAGCATTTGGTAATAACAAAGACATGCCGGTTCCACCCTGCTTCCAAAGAGCCAATGAACAGCCAAACCTCAAAAGATATTGTGTTGTTGCATTGACATATACACAGATTAGACTGTTTACGATAGTTTTAACTATGTTGTGGCAGATATATCGATGTGCTATATTGGTAAAAATTTAGGTAAGAGTACTTGGCTCATCTACAAATAGAAATTTAATCGGGTTTTCCATCAAGATTAAGCTTGTAACAAGAGCACTCAGAGAACTCCCCCTCAACAGTGTGACCTTGACCTTGACCCGATTTTTAAACTAAGTTAAATCAGCTCAAGCTGTTATTGGTATATACCATCACACAAAATTAGCACATGATATCTTGAACACTGTGGA